GACAGGAGTCCATTTCAATAAGCAGGTTTTCTCAACATTCTAAGTTTTCTATACCTGAAATATAGGTTGAGTTTTACGTTTCACAGAGAGAGTTTACTCATCCTCTGTTTCTATTGCTGTAGTAACATTCTCCACAGCGGTAACCTGGTCGGGCTTGTCCTCTGTCTCTTATATCCTTAAAAACAATCACATTGTTTAATTTCCAGATTTATTCAGGAGGTTTTCTTGTAGTTTTGTAATTAAAAAAGTGCATAAAAAATAATTCACTAGGTGCATTAGGTTTTAAAAACAAACACTGCACATTCTTTTGGCAAAGTTCTAATTAGAGAATGATTGCAATTTATTCACAGAGAATTAAATATTTATAGGGAGAAGATTCTACAACTCAGTTGACAGGATAAGAGATTTATTGGCTTATGGTTTATTTAATGTGAGCGACATGAAGATAATTTTTTTTATACATTTTACAGTATATGATGAACTATTTAAATTATTTTCAGATTACACATAAATAGATTAATTCTGCGGGGGGAAAAATCGAATTACCTTAGAGTTTTGAAAAGGATTTACTCTGTGTTAACAACCTACTGAGCCTACTGGTACAACCTGAAGCAATTCTATGGCACTGATAACTACTAATAACAGCCATTTAATGTGATGATAGCATCTGTAGCAGCTGCGAACAGCCACTTAGTATTAACTGTGTATTGGAAGACGGAATCAAAATGAGGAGGAACCCATGAGGATATGAACAGGTCCTTTCTATTAGAATAACTTTTTAAGGCTTCTTTTTCACCTGCTGCCAGGTGATTTTACCTAAATAGAATACATTAATCTATTAGCATTCAAGAAATAAACCTGTAATTTTAGCAAGCCTTTCGGAAATGTATTAGTATGACTGAATCTGTATTTCTGATATCTGAAAAAAAAAATCCTTGTCAAATTGACTATTTTAAAACAAAATCAAATTCTCCACAACTAGAATAAACATTCTGGATATCTCGAATTGAATTCAAGATCTCCATATTCCTATTGTTAATAATCCGTGTATCATTCGTTCTTTCTATTTTCAATTGCCAATCAAAAAACAAAAAATAAAAAATTGACTGGTTATTTTGTTTTTTGTTTTTTATCGTTAAACCAAAAACGAAAAAAGGATTGGTTTTTCATATTTCAATTCTAAGCTCAGATCAAGAATACGAAATGGAAAAACGGACAGCAACGCAGAATTTGATTTTAATATTTAATCGGTACAGTTTACAGACCTTATGGCAGAACTGGAAATGAAGACCTGAACTCCCAACACATAGCTTTTTTAGTTACCAGTAGGTGGCGGTAATGTACGCCTTCAATTTCTTGCCAACCGTCATTACAATCCACACGAAGAAGAACGCATCACTGATTATAGAGTGTGTTTTTCCTCTCTCAAAAAGTTCGATAATTAATGCAGAAAACGGTTCAAATGCAGCAATTGCCTTTTGTTTAGAAATGTTTTGTTTTGATGCTGTCTTCATCCACTGTAAATGATTTTTCTTTGGCGACTTACTTCATTTCCGGTACCGCTACATATCAAAACAACAACCATATTTTATTTTCATTTACATGGCAAAGCAAAACTGAAACGCTGTTGATTTTCTATTAATCCGTGTATCATTCGTTCTTTCTATTTTCAATTGTCAATCAAAAAACAAAAAATAAAAAATTGACTGGTTATTTTGTTTTTTGTTTTTTATGGTTAAACCAAAAACGAAAAAAGGATTTGTTTTTCATATATCAATTCTAAGCTCAGATCTAGAATACGAAATGGAAAAACGGACAGCAACGCAGAATTTGATTTTAATATTTAATCGGTACAGTTTACGTGACCCGGAAGTTTGGTGGAGCTTTAGCTAAAAAAAACAATTGGCTTACCCCCATAGATATCCATAATAAAGGCTTTATTATGGATATCTATGCTTACCCCCACCACGTTCGATCAAGCTGCACCAGATAAGGCAGTCGGACCTATCAGCCATGGACAGTTACGGTCGAGGATCCAAGCGTGTGACTCTTAAGGAGGAGGACATGACAACTGAGAAAATCAGCAGGATTTTCCAGGTATAACTTTTTTCTTGAAACTTTTCTGTGCACTGTACTTTTAACTAGCAACAACAAACAGCGTTCTAGCGTCGCCATGGTAGCCACTTCATCACCCCACTGCCTCGCAAAGAGCTATTTCCGGGTCACGTAAACTGTACCGATTAAATATTAAAATCAAATTCTGCGTTTTTCCATTTCGTATTCTTGATCTGAGCTTAGAATTGATATATGAAAAACAAATCCTTTTTTCGTTTTTGGTTTAACCATAAAAAACAAAAAACAAAATAACCAGTCAATTTTTTATTTTTTGTTTTTTGATTGACAATTGAAAATAGAAAGAACGAATGATACACGGATTCCTATTAATCCGTGTATCATTCGTTCTTTCTATTTTCAATTGCCAATCAAAAAACAAAAAATAAAAAATTGACTGGTTATTTTGTTATTTGTTTTTTATGGTTAAACCAAAAACGAAAAAAGGATTTGTTTTTCATATATCAATTCTAAGCTCAGATCAAGAATACGAAATGGAAAAACGGACAGCAACGCAGAATTTGTTTTTAATATTTAATCAGTACAGTTTACGTGACCCGGAAATAGCTCTTTGCGCAGCAGTTGGGGTAATGAAGTAGCTACCATGGCGACGCTAGAACCACACACTATGTTGATCGAGAAGCTGTTTGTTGTTGCTAGTTAAAAGTACAGTGCACAGAAAAGTTTCAAGAAAAAAGTTATACCTGGAAAATCCTGCAAATTTTCTCCGTTGTCATGTCCTCCTCAAGAGTCACACGCTTGGATCCTCGAAATAAAACGTAACTGTCCATGGCTGATAGGTCCGACTGCCTTATCTGGTGCAGTTTGATCGAACGTGGTGGGAGTAAGCCAATTGTTTTTTTAGCTAACGCTCCACCAAACTTCCGGGTCATGTAAACTGTACCGATTAAATATTAAAATCAAATTCTGCATTGCTGTCCGTTTTTCCATTTCGTATTCTTGATCTGAGCTTAGAATTGAAATATGAAAAACCAATCCTTTTTTCGTTTTTGGTTTAACGATAAAAAACAAAAAACAAAATAACCAGTCAATTTTTTATTTTTTGTTTTTTGATTGGCAATTGAAAATAGAAAGAACGAATGATACACGGATTCCTATTAATTCCATTTTTCATTTTTTCGATTTAGGTTTTAAAAACGGGAAAACAAAAAAACCACACGCTTGTTTTCTTTTTTTCTTTTTTGTTTTGAAACGAAAAAGCCAAAGAACGAACCATACACGAATTGTAACTGTATTACAGATATCATAAATACATATTCAGTCAAGCTAATAAATGTCAAAACTGCCCCTTATAATGTGTAAACATTCTTGATATGTATAACTTAGTTCTTATTAGTAAATTTTATCTTTTTTACTTTCTAAAATTGAGTTTTTGTTGGGAAAATGTAATTTTGCAAATCTCTCATTGCAGATCTTTCTAGAAGTGTGATTTTGATCAGGAAGATCTTATTTTAGTGATCTACGAATAGAAAAACAGAGAGGAGAGTGCTTTTAAAATATGTCAAAAACATAGTTCTGTCACAGTAGACTTCATATAAACGTACGCATAAACTCGAGCAATAATCTTCTATTACGTCATCTCCCTCTCCTTTGCTGCTGTAGTGCGGTTTTTCTGTCTTTTAAACACATTCTCCTTTTTTCCCTATTTTTGTATTAAAACCTGTATTTCCAGTGAGATGACATTTGCACTTTCTCTTGTCTGCTATCATGGTGACTCGTCGAATTTGGGGTCCACTGATAATGGATTTTCATACTTGTTATGCTGGTGTTCAACTCTGAGTGGACCTACTTAGAGTCGATTAAACTAACCCATGTCAGCTTTTATGAAACTGATTTTAAGCTTAATTAATTCAGGGTTGGGGATTTGAGTCTGTTTGTAAAACCCGCTTTGTGACATGGACACCATGTCACAAAGCGGTTCATTGGCTCCCTCTACTCAGCTTCTTCTTCATCCTAATTACTGCAGAGTCACCTGAGCATCAGAATGTGTTGGAAGCAAATTTTTATAATGCTTTATACGCTTAATACCTGCATCTCACATAAATTGATCCCAAATGTCTTACCACATCAGGTATCACTGGGGTAAAGAGTGTCCCTGAAAATTATTAATTTCTGATTTAAAAAAACATTTAATAAAGCATTATTAATCAAATAATATTTTTTTAACCTATTGGAATTGCATTGTGAATCCAATTTCTCTAAATAAGCTGAAACCTAATCTGACCACATTCCAAACTCTTCAAGATAAACTTTAATTCTCAAGCATAAAATCCAACTAAACTGTGATGTTATTGCATGATTTCATTGAATGTAGTTTACAACCATGTTTTCCTTCTTTGTGTTCATAGTAGCTTAGTTTAGTTTCTGTAGTTTAGGCATGACTTTTTAACTGAAATATGTTTGACTTGGAGCTGAATGATCTTTTTTATAAAATCTTATATTGAACGGAGGTTGTGGTGAATTTATTTCATATATGTGCATGGATGGATGGATGGAGTGGGCAATAAAAATATTAAAGGTAGTGGTTCTCCTTCAAGCCAGCATTTTATTAAACCTTTGTAAGGGCGAACAGATAGAGTCTTGCCAATGTTCCTGTCTGTTCTGGTCACACAGGTTTTACCTAACTACTTATTTATTATTGTTATTTTGTACACACAAGTGTATACAAAAAGAAATTTCATTTCGTTCAGCTCTCTAGACTATTTCAATTTTTTAAAGTGCAGCCTGGATAAAGGCAGAGATGGGAAGTAACGAAGTACAAATACTTCGTTACTGTACTCAAGTAGATTTTTATGGCGGCTTTTTACTTCTACTCCTTACATTTTTACACAAATATCTGTACTTTCTACTCCTTACATTTTAAAAAATTGTCTCGTTACTTTAGTTTTGAATCATTTCAATGGAGTTACCGTTATTATTTTTCACGTCATCAATACCAAATTCAATCTAATTGGATGGGAATCTACGTTGCATTTGACGCACCACTACAAGATGAATCGACAGATTCGGCGGTATTCATTCGCGGCAAATCATTGCAGCTTGGTGGCGGTGGCGTTAGCACAGTAGTATGAACAACGAGATGATTGAAAATGAACACAACGGAGATCTAGTCCTATTGGCATCCATTTAAAATGTAGGCAACGGCATGAAAAAAGTAGTTTCTACTTTTACTTTTATACTTTAAGTAAATTTACAAGCCTGTACTTTGTTACTTTTACTTGAGTAAAGAAGTTTAATCAGTACTTCCACTTTTACCAGAGTATTTTTTAACACAAGTATCTGTACTTTTACTCAAGTACGGAAAGTGAGTACTTTTGCCATCTCTGGATAAAGGTAAGCAGCAGTGATAAAAAAAAACTGTGATGAAAGAAACTGTGGTGAAAAAAGGCGATGTAAACAGGACTGTATAGTTACAGTCCAACATTCATTTTTGGGGGGTTTCTTTTTTTGTTTTTGTTTTTACTTAAGAAGCACAGAAAGGAATTCTCACAGACAATATGTAGAGTTTCTCACATATTTTCTCACAAACCAAAGCATTTTTTTATAACTGTGGGTCTAAAGGAGTCCAGGCACTTACCAAAACATCTAAAAGTGAAAATCAGATTCTGAGGTGTCAGTAAGATGAGAACTGTGTTCAGCCATGTCTAACTGGTGCTCTGTTAGAGCAAATACTTTTAAAAGTAATTAAATCCTAATTAACAGTCGGATGGGATAGTAAATAGATTTTTCTACCACAGGCATTATCAACTTCCAGACAGAAGCGACCTTCATGTGGTCCAAAAAGGAAGTTTTTTTAAATGTGTTTTGTTTGGATGAAAATTTTGTATGAAAATAAAATAAATGACTCAATTTGAAGCAACAGACATTTACTAACACTGCTTCCAGGTCCTCCCTCTTTTCCAGCAGTGAGTTCTAACGCTGATAAGAATGATGGCGGGAAGATGGAAGATAGTGCAAATGTCTCAGTTGTTTCTGAATGCACAGAAGTATTTGGTGACTTTGAAATCCCACATTCATGTTAAAAAAAAAATAAGCCCTGTGTTAGTCTATCCAAACAGGTTACAGTAAATGTACAGTATGCAGTGACAAACAGTAAGTCTCTTGCTAAAGTTCTGTTTTTTCAGCTCTTCAATATTAGGTCACATCTGGGCACTTACAAGCTCAGAACATGCTCAGGACTGTCAGATAGATGGTAGAGATTTCACCTAGTTAAATAAAGGTTAATAAAATGGTATAATGCAAGGAATTTAACAGTTACATATTATTCCAGGAAAGTTTACAGTGAAACCACTGATCAAAGAATAAGTAAACATTTTCTAATATGAGCATTTGCACCAAATATCAGCGGTTAAAGAATTTGATCTGCCTGTTTAAAAAGTATTTCTGCCCTTAAAGGAAGATAATTAGATACTATGCTATAAAATAATATAATGAAGATTTTTTTTTTATTTATTTGAAACATAAATCCAATTCCATTGGCAAGTGTTCGTACTTACAAATCAAGAGAAAATGCACTTATCTCAAGAAAAAAGACCTTACTTGTTAACAAAATCTGAATTCCTGGTCTTTGTGGATTTTTTTTCATGAATCCTAACCTGTTTTTTTAACTGCATTCTAAAACTTTGCATCATCCTTTCTAAAAACATGAAGCATTTGCTTTAGTTAGTTTCGGCTTCCTTTGTCCTTCAAACTGAAAATAAGACTATGCAACCCCTAAATCAACTTTTTTTAAATAAAGAACTGTATAAATAAATGTTAGAGCATTCCAAGATTTTTAACCCGCATCCCTGCCCTACCCTATGCCCCAAATTCTCTATGTTATACAGCTTAAAACCAATTAGTTTATAAAAATTGTTTCAAAAAACAATCCTTTGCTTTGGCAAATCACCATACATCCATGTGGCTGTAGGTGTAGGATGCTTTATGGCAGAGAATGTCAAAATAAACAAGAACATAAATATCCATTCTATTCTATCAACTTTGAATTTCCCTGATCGAATGGCTGTTAAATCACTTCATAATATTTAAAAAAAAGACAAAAATAAAAGTGTTCCTATTGTAATTAATTTAATAAACATTTATTTTACTTATGACTAAACACAAATCAGACACTGAAGCAGCAAGAGAATACAAAAATATATAAACTTGCTGACATTTTAATTTGGCAGGAGCACAAGAAACCTTTGCAATAACATACATTTCCATATTTACAGTAAATGTTGTTCCTTTGTCATCTGTTGGATGTCGCAGGTTTGGATTTGTTCTTATCAGCTCTGTTAACCTGTGCATAAATTGTTTCAGGCAGTTGGTTTGGGCCGGTTGCAGTATCATTGGGCTGGTCAAGATGATGGGAAAACTGCACCAATGCATAAGTTGATGTTGGAGAAGAAGGTGTTGTAACCTCTGCAGGAGATTCATAGGGATTTGTTTGTGGATTTTCCTAAAAAACACAAAAAGATTGAAGCAAAAAAAAAAAAACATGTTTCATTGATATTCTCTGCATGGCTTTCTGTGAGAGCTAACACTCATATGAGGAGACATATAAAAAGATCATCTTCAGATTAGAAAAAAAAGTTTAGTCATCTAATGAAAGAATAACTTCAGCAGACTGGGAAAAGCAGGAGGTTTAAGATAAATTTTAAGAGAATTTCTAAAGCATTTGTGCTGTTAGTAGTTTGCATAGATAAAAAGGTTGTCTATTGCTCTTGAAGCAACTAAATTTCAGTTTATTGTAGAGATATAGTCCTTTATCTTCTACATTTCTGAATTGGTTGACAAGCAAACAGGGAGAGTTTTTCTTTTAAGAGAGAACATACTGCTTACCTGAGGGACTTCATACACTGTATGTGCACTCCTTTTTCTTTTCCCTGCAGGTCAGTCACAAAAAATAAAGTTTGCATGGTTTGAGGTGACTTGAGTCATAATTTATTTTAAAGTGACACCGTAGAAAGTGTGACACTTAAAATACATAGTGATTTAAAGTTTAGGTTGAGAATTACATAAGAAATTTAGTTTATTTGAATGACAAATATCTTCAATATTAAAATCACCCGTATCTCCATCCATTGGAGACAATTAGACAGGCGATGCAAACTCAATGAACCACCTTAATGTAATGTAATTCTTCAAAATGGGCATTAAAAAACATTGATGACCACATATCTTGTGTCACTTGTGCTGCCACCAGGGCCGTCACAGGTAGGGAGGAACGTTCTGTGCCAACTTGAAACAAGTGAGGCTCTGCTTCTTGACATAGATGTCAAGAAGCAGAGCCTCACTTGACTGATCTGTTTTCTACTTCTGCTTCTATTGTGGCTTTTGCTGGCTCAACTGGAGACTTCTAGAAGAGACCACACTTCTCCATCCATCCACCTATCACAATTCTTTACCGAACAGCCAGCTGGTGGGTACTTCACTTTAAATTACTGTGGCATGAGAACAAGGTTAATTCTTCCAGGAATTCCAGGAGAAACAGTAGGAGCTGCCTAGTTTTCTTAAGTGTTACCAGGATCTTCTTGCCAGGTCCCTTCAGCCTGGATCTCTGGTCACTGGATGTCAAGCTTTCCAGTCGCGTGTTTGCATACGTCATGCAAATTGAAATCTAGCTCAAGTGAGAAGCCGTTTTGACTGATTGGCCCAAGGTAGTAGGTTTTACAACCAGACCAGAGGGTGGAAGAGATGGGTCATAGTCCTCATTGTTGTCCGAAAAGGTTAGCTCCACCCGCCCTAACAGCAAGCCAAGCATGCCTCGAGTGAGACTGTGCTCTGACATTCCAGGTGGTAGTGGGTCCACAGCATTTAATTTCCACCAAACAGGTTGGATCCTGTTTACACTCCTCTGTCTTTGTGGAAGATTTTAATGTGATTTGGCTGAGAGGCAGGGCATTAATGAGTTGTAATTTTTCCAAGTCCACTCGCTGACAGTAAAAGTCTAAGCCGAGGCGATGCGTCATTCTAAATTGGGGCGGTGGCAGCCCTAAGTTACTTACTCTACTTGGATTAGGTCTAATCTTTTATTGTAAACTGTAGTGTGTACTATACTAAGTTTTTCATACCGCCATACAAACTAACACCTGCCGAGGATGTGTTGAGGAGGAGTTGTCGAGATGTGAGTCGACTCAGCTTTATTAAGTTGACTTGTTAACAAGTCGGCTTTTTGGTGAATGCCCCACTGAGAGGCTAGAAAGCAATTAGCTGGTGGCAAATAATCTAACCAGGTGTGGCCAGGTTGGGGGCAGCATTGCGGCTTCTCCAAGTGTAGCTTATACAGAAGGGGTATTGCTACTCTGACCAAAGTACAACCGTGGTGCTAGGTTAACCTTCCACTAGTTTTGCGGTATTTCTAAGAGAATAGCTAGCTACTGTAATAATTGAAAAAAAAACAAAAAAAAAACAGAGCAAAACACCCAGCAACTGAGTCAGGCTCATGGAGAACTATATACAAGCGAGGTTAGTTTTTTAGTAAACTTTGCTGTGATATCCCTTTAAGTAAGCAAAGGGACCCTGCCTCCCTTTAACTGACAGGCTTACTTTCCAGCCAATACTGACGAGGAGTGTTTGAGCTTGTGGAGCTTGTGCTCTGAGAAGGTTGCAAGTACCCAGTTTGATCCCCACAGCCTGCACTCTGGGTCCCTGAGCAAGACCCTTAACCCCACACTGCTCCCCGGGTGCCGTAGAACTGAAGCCCACTGCTCCCCAAGTGGATGGGTTAAATGCAGAGTGAATTTCTCCATTGTGAAATCGATAAAGTTCAATAATAATAATAATTATTATTATTATTATTACTACTACTACTAGCAAGCGTAATGTATTCGGAGCTTATAACGAGGTCACACTGAAGGCATTCCTAATGTCAGATATAAAAAGAAGGCTATAAAATAGAGCCATCCACGAGCTTAAAGCCCTTATCATAAAAATAACTTGTAGTATTGTTGGATGCTCTTACTTTAAAAAAAAGAGGGGGGAAATAATTATAACATACAACCAACACCTAAAATAATTATTTCCAAACATCTTTCAACACATAAACATGATTTTAATCTAATTCTGCCCTTCTTAAGAAAAACTCATCCCTTTTGCAGTCAACAATATTTTTAAGTGTTTTTCTGTTTTTAAGAGTTATAGATTAATGTACTTAATCAAACATATTTTCTGATAGCTGAATTATTTAATTCCCTGGCTTGTTTTAAATAATTTTTATTGAACCAGAAAGTTTGTTTCTGATAGGTAATAGAACTGTTGTCAGTTGCCAGATTTAACAATGCAAGAACAGCATAAGAAATTTGAATTCTCTTCATTTACAGTGAGGAAAATAAGTATTTGAACACCCTGCTATTTTGCAACGTCTCCCACCTAGATTTCGTGGAGGGCTCTGAAATTGTCGTCATGGTGCAATCCCACTGTGAGATACATAATTTTTTTTTTTTTATCCAGAAATCACAGTGTATGATTTATAACTATTTATTTGTATGATCCTGCTGCAAATAAGTTTTTGAACAGCTGTCTATCAGCTAGAAATTTGACCCTTAAAAACCTGTTAGTCTGCCCTTCAAAATTTCCACCCCCATTTATTACCCTAAATTAGATGCACATGTTTAAGGTCGTTAGCTGCATAAAGACACCTGTTTACCCCACACAGTCAGTAAGAATCGAACTACTAACATGGCCTATTAAGAATTAGATTCATTTATTTGTATTTTGCTAAATTATTAATGTTACAGATCTTAGCTTGTGTGAATGGTAGAGCTGTTGTTTATTTGTTTATGTATTGGTTTTGCTTAGAACCTCCTCCTTGTAAGTTCGCCTCCTGCTAAGATTAACAAGTAGAAGCAGCTGCTGAGGTGGATCTGATTGTTTGTTTGAAGGAGTGAGGTGTGCAACAGTGTTTTCTCACACCACTTAACGTTTATACTTGAATTTTTTGTAAGTCAACTCGGAGAATATTTCTGTTAATTTTATGAAACAAGAAAATTCTACACGAGTTCTTTTTGTTTTGTGAGTCGAAAAACCTCCTCCTAAGACTACTCTGGCAATTTATGATTTTTTTAGAAACTATTTTGATGCAAGAGTAGCCGTAAAAAGGGTACACCCCCGCAAGGCTGGAAAGGGCTACGGGGAAATTGCCATCAGATTGGTGACAAAAGGTCCACTGTTGGAGCAATCATTAGAAAATGGAATGGACTGTAAATCTCCCTCAGACTGGGGCCCGATGTAAGATATCACCTCATGGGGTCTCAATGATCCTAAGAAAGGTGAGAAATCAGCCCAGAACCTCACGAGGGGTGCTGGTCAATGACCTGAAAAGAGCCAGGACCACCGTTTCCAAGGTTTCTCTTGGGAGACATCATAGTTTGAAATCATGCATGGCACGGAAGTTTCTCCTGCTTAAACCAGGACATATCAAGGCCTGTCTTAAGTTTGCCAATGACAATTTGGATGATACAGAGGAGTCATGGGAGAAGCCATGTGGTCAGATGAGAGCAAAATAGCTTTTTGGTCATAATTCAACTAACCGTGTTTGGAGGAAGAAGAATGATGAGTACCATCCCAAGAACACCATCCTTACAGTGAAGCATGGGGGTGGTAGCATCATGCTTCAGGCTGGCTGCACTGTATTAAGGAGAAGATGACCGGGGCCATGTGTGCGAGATTTGGGGGAACGACCTCCTCCCCTCAGTTAGAGCACTGAAGATGGGCGGAGGCTGGGTCTTCCAACATGACAATGACCAGAAGCACACAGCCAGGATAATCAAGGAGTGGCTCTGCAAGAAGCATACAAAGGTTCTGCCGTGGTCTAGCCATTCTCCTGACATAAACCCAATAGAGAATCTTTGGAAGGACTGTTTCTCAGCGACAGCCCAGAACAGGACTGATCTAGAGAACTGTGTGGAGGAGTGGGCCAAAATCCCTCCTGCAGTGTGTGCAAACCTGGTGAAAAACAGGAAATGTTTGACCTCTGTAATTGCAAACAAAAGGTAGTGTGCCAAATATTAACATTTATTTCCTCAGGTGTTCAAATACTTATTTGCAGCTGTATCATACAAATAAATAAAAAAAACCTACATTGTGATTTCTGGATTATGTTTTAGATTACGTCTCTCACTGTGGACATGCACCTACGATGACAATTTCAGAGCCCTCCATGATTTCTAAGTGGGAGAAGTTGCAAAATAGCAGGGTGTTAAATACATATTTTCCTCACTATACATAAAAAATTTTATATGAAACATAATTTACACCCTAGTCAATATTCATTTAAAACCTTTATATTAACATTACGGCAATAAAACTACTTTAGCCCTTTCGTGATTCGATGGGTATTGCATTGATTTGTTTTTGGTAAAGAGCTCTACTGCTTAAAGACTGGAAGGTCTCTTAGCCATCCCCCAATCTTTAGCCAGGTCCATGGATTTCTAAGCACATGTAGAGACACCAAAGGGCCACTCCATAAAAAAAGATTAGTTAAAAGCTAAACATCTTAGAGCAGGGGTCTCAAACCGGTTCCAGAAAGGGCCATGTGGCTGCAGGTTTTCTTTCCAACCAACCAATGGCACACAAGACTCCATTCATCTCATCAACTGAGTGCAATCTGAACATGATGACTTAATGAGATGGATGGACTCTGCTGTGCCATTGCTTGGTTGGAAACAAAACTTGCAGCCCTTTCGGGAAACGGACAGGGGTTTGAGACCCCTGTCTTAGAGGATAAATAATTTTGTATTTCATATCAAATGATGAGGTGGAAAATTGAGGAAAAAACTAAAATGAATCTGATTTGTTTGAAACAACTATATACACAACACATCCTAGGAACAAAATGTGATGAGTAAATGGATAAGTAACAGATACTTACAACTTTTGAACAGGCAAAAGATAAGAACACCTGCTGCTGCTGTTATTACTGCTGCTGCTGATATCCCAACTATGGCAACTGCATTTCTGGCTGTAGGAAGAGATAAAAACATGTCACAGGTGTATTTCCTAAGCACACTTTCCATTTTGGAACATTGGAACAAACAGAATGTCAGATCCACATGTTTTATTGTCCAAATGAAAGAAAGCTGCTACAATCTGACAAATAAATGCATTTCTTCATATTTACTCCTAAAACATTTAAAATGTTTAAACAGTTTGCAGATATTTTAAGGGACAACTGTAAAGTTCTAGGTTTATTTCAGCTTCTTCCAACACACAGACAACAGTGGCCTCTGATGCAGTAGTTCACCCAGCTTTGTTGTTCTGTTCTTGGGCAAGATACTAAATCCTCTGACCTTCTGCAAACCACCTACTGATGGTGGTCAGAGGACCTGTATCTGTGTATGGCAGTCTCCCCTCTGGGGAGGGCAGCAGTGAGTCTTTGTCTGGCTGGGGGAGTGACTGAATTTAGTGTAACGAGCTTTGCATCTCCTGACTTTAAAAGATGGAATATAAGCACAGGCCATTTCTATAAGGGACTTCACCCAACCTGACTGACCTGTGCATGGAGGTGCATGATTGTGAGTAAGGCTGGGTGTCAAATGCTTTGAAAGGTCAATGTGACTAGAAAAGTTCAGTTCAATTAGAATTAAGTTAGAAATTCTTAGTTGGTCGGAACAAAAACTACAAATGATTAATCCAAATCCTGAAAAATGCAAGATGGGAGCGGGGGTTAGAGTAGAGACTGTTAAACAAAATTAAAATCATAATTGTATAAGTCATTGGTCACAAAGGTTACAGTTTTGATGTAAATCAACATGCTTTAGGTTAGATTAGAGTAAGTATTAGAGTCAGCTACAATGCAGCTGTCGAAATAAATGGCAGCCAATGCAACCACTGATAATGTTTAAAACATAAATTTGTTAAAATGAGTATCTGCTAAGGTGTGAGTGTTAGGGTTAAAATGATAATAGTCCAAGTTTTGTAATTAGTCTATAAAATCAGGTTGTTAGAGCTTAATAACAATCCTGATGTAGGACACAGACTAAAGGCAAATAGACAAACTGTTAAGCTTCTGAGTTCTACGCTTTAGACTTATAAATAAAAAAGAAAAGAGCCTATTTCATTTTATTCTGTACATCGTTGTGTTTAACTATTTTAGGTTTTTCCATGTTAAATATCTATCTGTTCAATACTATAAATTGAAAGTCGCAGCATGGTTCCTTTAAATCTTACCTGGTTCGTTCTTGCAGAGAGAAACAAAAGGCTTTGTATCATTTGTCCAGCTTACGTTGTTGCTATGGTTACATACAACAGAGCCTTCCTGTACGTAGACCGTCAGCGAAGAGTCCTTCAAATCTGGTTTGTTCAGTGGATGGCAGGTCTGATTGTCACATTGAAAGATGCCTTTAACTTCAGAATCCACCACTTTACAAGTTGCTGTAAAATTACAGTCCCGGACATCCAATGATTTTATTGTTAATTTGATTGGAGACACTGGATCTGAGAAAAGAATAGATGTGATTGATTTCATAATAGGGTGCTTTTATAATGTTTCAAAACAGGACAAAAAAAGAAGTAACATACCTTGGACTGTGACAGTGTAATCAGCTATAATCCTCTCTTCAAGTCCAGCTGCTCTTGCCTTATAGTTTCCACTGTCTTCATGTTGAACATTTCTTATTACCACAGAATAGTTTTGTTTAAAAAAAGATGCTCTACCTTGATATTTCCCAATGACTGAGGGTTGAGTGCCATTATTAAATTTTACAACAAAAGTAGAGTTACATTTCCAACTAAAATCATCTCCTTGTTTAATTTCATTTTTGTCTACATCCAGCAGCAGGTCCGATCCTTTCTTCACAAACCGAGTTTCAGAGCCTGAAAGAACAAAATAAATTGTATTTCAATTATTAAATAATATCATCATGTTCAGTTTCTAGAATATCCTTCAATTAATTTTGAAGCAGCAGAGGAGATCTCTACACTATTAGACTGTGACCCTGTAATCATTCATCCATTTTCACTCACATTCACACACTGATGATGGCAAGCTACACTGTAGCCACACCTGCCCTGGGAATCGCGGACAGAGGCGAGGCTTCGGTACACCGACGCCACATGGCCCTCTGAACACCACCAATAGGCAATGCAGGTGAAGTGTCTTCTCCAAAGACACAACGACACTGATAGCTGGAGCTTAGGCTAGAACTGTCAACCATTCAATGGGTGTCGCCCCAAAATTAGAACATTTAGTCGTTCTGGTCCATTTAAGCTGTTCAGACAACTATTGTCAAGAAGACAAGGCTAAGATAAAGAAGGCAAATACTTCCTCTGCAATCTGTGCTTATATTAATTATTTTGTCAAACATGACTCAAATAGATTCTGTTAATACTTAAAGATGTTTCCTTCTTTTTGTACAATATCTGAGAAACATTCTTTCTCGGATTTGGACTGGGTGATCAAAATGATTGAACAGAAGCAAAGAAGGCGTTCTACTACGATATTTTTCTGTTCACATCATATAAAGTCTCATCACATGCTGCTTTGGGGCTATAGCTTATTTTTCAAACCTTGGTTTAATCAGAAATGTATATTGACAGATATAGTTTTGCAAGTGCTTCCTTGCCAGAACAGCCATCAGCACAAAGAACATAGCTGCACAGAGAAAAAACAAAGTTCAACATATAATCTCTGAAAAGCAACACTGGAAGCTATCTCACTGATTTTAATCATATCTATGAGGCTCACTGTTTAATCAGGGTCAATAATGTTCTCCACAATCCAGCATGACTCTGTCCTTGTTGCTGACAAGAAACCAATAAACATAAACCATATATTTTCTGTCTTGTATTTCTTTCTTTCCTTTATCATACTTTATGACTTTAGAGACTGAGTTAAACAATTAAATTTTTGTTTTGTACTTGTCCTGTAGTCCAGGGATTTTTGTCTGATTCCACTTAATGGTTTTGGTAAAAATACTCAATACTAAAGACAATAAGACAATAATAAGACAATAATAAATCTCATTCTAATAAACCAACACATACGAAGTGAGAACATTCAAAACTTCAAAGCTGAGCTCAAGATCTTTTGTTATAACACAACAGACAACCTGCTGCCACAAAGTGAGCTAAAGAGTTTAATACAGGGCCAAAAAAAAAAGTACTGTATTTTCACGACCATAAGGCGCACCGTACTAAAAGGTGCAGTCTCAGTTATGTGTGCCATTAATGTATTTAACACACACATAAGGCGCTACGGATTATAGGGCGCGGGTTTTATGTACCAGTACATATCCTCTTTTACGTTTAAATACCTCTACTGAGCGGGAGCAAAACTGAGTATGATTGTGCTTTATTCATGTATTTATTACAAAGTATTAAACAAACCTGGGAGTTGGCCGCGAGACAGACACATCGCTGATGACACAGAGCGCTCTGATCACTCCTCTGAAACAGTTTGACGCATAAATTAACTTAAAATGCAGAAATCTGCCGGCAGAATATGTTCGCTTTTATCATCCTGGTGCCTGCAGTTTAGATTATTTAGATGAAAAACATCTACCAGCTGCCGCGGTGAACCTCGAGGAGGCGACCCGACCAGAGGCTGCTGTTGAATGGGATCCTACTGACAGCGCACCGCTGGTATGTGAGGGTCTGAGCGGCTCCGACAGAACTAATATTAGAAGGTAGGATGGTAATCTGGATGAATTGACTGCAATGATTAAGTTTTCAGGTGGACTTTCTCACTTAAAAACATATTAAACTACTTTATTCCCACTGATCACAGCAAATATAGCTGCAAAGCAGAGGAAGGATAGAGTAGCTCTGCCCAACTGCGCTTCAGAACTAACTGGTACAAGCAGCAAAAATGAAGCAGCAGACGCATGAACGTAGCATTACTTTGAACGGCCGGTTCACACCGATGTCGAGTGGTTGAACTTCCTTAGTCAGACCTCCCGCAATAACAGCAAGCACAGCGTTAATTTGTTTCACCATGTTTTTCACATCGGCTGTGAGATGGGCACGCATGGAGTCACAGATCAACAGCGATGGTGATGCGTGGAAAAAACCACCTGGTCTCCTTACATTCACCTCCCTCAGCCACTCTTTCATCACCTCCTCAATGAGGAGATGAGGAGTTCTACATAAAGCACATACCTGTTCTTTGATACACAATCCACACCCACACTTCCCCCTTTAACGTTCTCACGGTGGTCTCAACAACGTCCGCAGTAACAACACACGTAGGGCGCACCGCACTATAGGGCGCGCCGCACATTTTGAGGGATAAAAAAGACGTTTATATGCGCCTTATAGTCGTGAAAATACAGTAACTAGACTTTAATGAAATATTCATAAACATCAGCAAGCATATAAAAATATAATTTAAAAGTTCACTAAATACTAAGAGTTTGGGTCAGACTAGAACTACTTGTCTTAACATATCAAATTTAGCTGAAACACTGTCAAGTTAATGTATTCCCTACCAAAGTCAGCGCTGAAACTTAATGTACAAGAAAGAGACCCTGATCAGTTCAAATATTTTGTGTCATGAAATCTTCACAGTTTTAAGACTGAGCACAATGGTTGATTATCTTTTAAGTGTATCTGAAATTTAAGCTGTTTATGCTGCTTTTCGATGAGAGGAATTTAAGGCATTGATTTTAGTCTTTAATCAGCTCTACCTTCTATACCTACCTTCAGCTATACCTGCCTTCAGCTATACCTTCCATTGCTTCATAGACATCAATTTCGAACAATTGAAAACTATTCTGTAAAAATTCAAAATATATCCACTGGACTTGGTTTGCAAGATTTGAAGACGTTTCGCCACCTCTCAATTCGAATGTCTGGATCCGCAGTGAGTTTGAGTCTTATATAGACAAAGCCTTGTATCGCTTGGAAACATTCAAATGGTAACCGATGAATGGGTCGTTTGGTTCCATCGTTAGCCTGTAATATCTGAGACCTGTCTATGATTCTGTGGATCGGTCGTTAAAGGGGGTGGATTGCCGTTAAGGGGGGGGATTGTCTCCTGTAATTACAGGAGACAATCAGAATGACTATGACCTGGATGACTGAGAACCTTCATCACCAATTAAAAACTAGAATAATTTAACAAACTTATGACAAATACAATGAGAATACATTAGTTCTAAGAGTAGCAAACCATGAAACACTAACAAAATCCCCACTAATAGTTATTCTCTCTATCCACTGCCTATTGAGATAATGTCTGGTTAATAGAGTGGAAGCTGAAGTCCAAAGACAGGTTGGATAAATCACTGAATCTTATTACTTTTTGGAGAATCTACATTACATTTTTTTTTACATCACCCACATGTGGTCGCCTTAAACATTACATCTAACTGATAAATAGGGCTTTTTTTCCATATTACCTTCTTCAAATCTACAAAGGTTGTTCAATTAAGTGTTACAAATTGCCACAGAAACTATTAGTCCGTTTTTGTAAGAAATAACATGAATTTTACCTTTAACTGTATCCACCACAAAGATGAGAAGAAGCAGAACAACCACAGCCATGACTAGGAGTCAACTGTGAAGCGGAAGTCAAGCGTTCTCTTTTTTTTGTTTGTACAGTTTCCCCTTTTTAGAGAGAGCTTTTAAAACCGCCCTGCACAGAAGCATACTGAAACTAAATAAAATGTATAGACTTATTCAAGACTGCATGACAATCAAATAAATGTACTTACTGTATATAGTGCCAATTAACAACATATAATCTCAAGGCACTTTAAAGGGTCTTTTCACAGAATATAGACAGATTTGTTAAATTTAAAATCAAAGAAAACCTACATCTCTGAAGCGTTAGTGTTGGAGCTCAATGTAAACGCCCCTCTGCTACTACCGACGGAGGGTTTAAAGAAACAGAGCAGACGCACAAAAGGAACACAAGAGCCATGATCTAACAAAACTTTTTATTTAAGAAAAAGACAATTCATGCTAAACAAGCATAGATCTTCATTCCCTTTTTGTTCCAATCATCATAGTCAAATTAAAATCAGTTCAAACAAATCTTGTAGTAAAATTGTAATTGCAGATTACAGTTTTTGATTTTTACTTATTTTTGTTACTTAAATTGTTCATATCATTACTGTATATATTGTTATTAAAGACAAGATAAAGACATTTTTTTTGTTTTTAAATTTTATTTTATTACCCGTTTTCTGAAGAAGTAATTGCAAATACTAGATTCAACTGCCCTTTTTTAAATAACTGGGAATTAGTCATTTAATGTTCTGAGAGAGATTCTGATTCACATTTCTTTGCAGGATTGGATTCTGAAGGATAGCAGCCTTTTGAATATCATGCTAAAAGACTTGAATTAAATTATAGTATAATATAGTTTCCATTCTAAAAAACTTTTTTTTAGCAATTAGGGTTTAGACTTTCTTGTGTTCTTTAGATTATTATCCTAATTTATATCTTATTGTCGCTTGAGCTTAACACAAACTGAGGGTCAGACATTCACCTTCATCCAAGTGATGATGAACTAAAAAAAGACCCTTCCATGCAGTAATGACATATTATCTATGACAGTAGCAAGCAGCTGGATTTAAAAGAAAACACAGATGTTAATTGTTCTGCCAACATCAATGAAGCACTTTTTTGGATAACTTATTTAGGCTCTTAAGCATGAGGAATATTTGAGCAATGGAATATCAATGTCAGCTTATGTTTGTGGGTTTATGGCAGACATAAAAATTGTGAAAAAAAATTAAGGTTTATTTTCATCAGGACACAATCTGTTGCTTTGACATGTTTTAGCTCCCCAAATGTTGTCTTCATCAAATTAAATTACTTTCAAAGGTACTTTTGTAATCCAAAAATGAAACAAAATGTGTAGTAGTATGTCTGAGCACTATTTAAGAGATTTTTTTATTTCATATTTTTTGGCAGCATTGTGTTTTGTTGTGGCTCGTTAAAATAAATTCATCTTTAAAAAAGGAAAAGCTTCATTGCTCAGCACTATCTTGTCATGTAATAAAACTGGAAGGCTAGACTTCTTAGTCCTTAATGATGAAAAATATGCTTTTCTTTGTTTTGCAATATTGTTATTTCACTACAAACAATGCCATATGTTAGCACAAGGTCCAGAGTGTGAAGATGGTGATGCATGAGACTGTGCACATTTTGAACAAAGTCAATCAAGTCTAAAATAGCATTGAATACTGCCTTTAAGCTGTTAGCTTTAACACTGGCATAAATATTAAAATTCCCCATTTCAATGACCTCATCAATATATTACACTAAATTAGATCTAAACAATGATAGTCTAAACAATTATCTAAAAATTGAGAATATCGGTCTGCTAGATGATATAAACTTACAACCAAAAGTTTTTTTTTTGTTATACAATTTGAATGGGGAAACTAAGGGTTAAATGTTCAAATAAACATTTAATAATATCTGATTGAATCGAACCAAAACAAATAAGCCACCATGCAATATTTAATGATACACTTTATTGGATCAGTTTTTAAAGAATTACTTTATTCAAAACCATTACCTGTAATTACAAAAACAGCTTTTTCTTCCCTCTCCTTATGTCACTTACAGTCATCTTTGATTGATATGTAAAGTTCATATTTACATTCCTACGTCTCGGCCTTTATTGTTTAACCACTAACAGGTTTACATGTATATGCTGACCATTGGGTGCTTTGATAAGATGAAAATTGATGAGCTGTGTTTTTTTTTTTTTTTTATCAAATCACAGAGTAATTTCCAAATTATTTTGCTGAACTTGTTGCCTCTAACTCTTACAAAAGATATCATATTTTCTTTACTGTTAAAGGCACATATGTGTATCAGCACATGAGTATTTACATTTCCTGGCGTTTGTCCACTTGGCCAATGTCATTAGGCTGTTTTTCTGAGATTTCTTTTCATATAAGTAATCTTTATCAAAGTCAGTTGTTTTAAATATAGAGAGTTTTCACTTGTAATAGATTAGTATTTTTTCTTGAATGAGGTTTAAAAAACTGTAGACTAACAGCTAACAGCTAAACTATGTACTTCAATAGATGCATACTTCTAGTGCAACAAAGGAATTTCATACAACACTAAACAATACATTATGCAATGCATGTTGAGAAACTCTACAGATTGAGATAGAAGATTATGCAGTAGTTTCCACTTCATAGTGTTTAACAGGAAATTTTTAAATTGTGATCAGATGCTTGGGAGGAAGTTGAGGGTGAGACTTGTGAACTAGGTGCTATTTTTCCCCATATATGAAGCTAAACATAAAGTCATATGACTTTCTGTACGTGCGTTCAACAGAACATTGTTGGCTTCATCTTAAGCAGTTTTCCTCTTATGATTAGTAACGCATCTTTAATTTTACCACACATTTACCTACACTTTAGAGGGGAAACACAAACTAATATGAAATTAGCTAGTGTTTTATCGACACCTTGTTTGCCTCTTCTCCTGTTTTTCAAATGATATAAAGTAAACACTCAGATCATCTTACATTTGGATGAGTGAGTGAACTGGGAAACACCCATTGAAACCAGAATAAGGTCCTGACTTTTTTATCTTTGTTTCAAAGAGGTATTTAGACTATGCGTCACTCTGCTCATGACTTCTTCATCACCTTCATGTGATGACGCTTTGCCATATGATTCAAAGAATTGTGTTTTAAAGGGGAATAAACATTCAAAAGTATTTTCCCCATTGTAACAAGCCAGGTTTTTGTGTCTAATAAAACATTTAACAAGATAAATAAATTCTTATTTTTTTTGTAAAATATCCTCTTTTATTTTGCTAAAAAAAAAAAAGGAAATGAAGAAAAATAGTTGCATAAATGTGCACAACTAGATAAGGTATCAGACAGGAAAAAGGTATAAAGGAGTTATAACAAAGAGTGCAGGGTAGTGCACATTTATGCAACTAGTTTTTGCAGTTTTCTTGCTTTTTGAATATTGTCTTTATGATTGTATTATTTGAATTAAACAGTATAGATATTTTAGGAAAAGTGGAAAGTTTTAAAAGGGTTTGCTTGATGTTGTGACTTAATGTCATGCTATGCCATGGAACTTCTCTGACTGCAGGAATTATTATTCACTGCTGGAATTGATTGCTTGGACAGACTGACAGGGCAGAAGAGTGGGATCCATTTTCTGATTAGCTCAACTAACATTATTGTGATATGAATTATTGCCCTTCAACCCAAGAGGGTCAGACTCCCACTAAGTATGAAAAAGACAATACAATGTCAGTGATTAGACTACGGTAAACAGTACGATTCTCTGTCCTTATGCAAGTAGAACTGTTTAGGTTTTACAGACTTCAGTCCAACTTCTCGTGAAACAAACAGAACTGTCGTAACATGTTGCAAATAATTTCCTTCCTCTTTATAGTCATGAGTGACAGCAACTTTAGCAAACAATTGTTCACAAACTACCATACCATACTTCATTCAAAGCAGTCTTTGTCATATTAGACTTATGTGCTTTCAGCTCTCATGTGACCACAAAATGTTCTATGTTTAGAAACTTCATACATTGCTGATGCGAACACTTAAAGGATCTCTGACTCGGCCTCTGTCTTCGCCTCGCTGCTCCCTGTAGCTCTGCTCCAGACGAATCTTCTCCGGGTCTGTTAAGTCAGGCACAGGCCCGCCTCCGTTGCTCTGGTATCCTCGTTCTGAACTAGACAGCTTGAAGATGGGCGTTGTCTTGGTCTTTGCTACTTTGTCAAAGAAGGCAAAGTCTGCTACATATTTGCCTGACTTAGAGAGAGAGACTACTGGGGGAAACTCGTAACCCCAGAGGATCTCATCTGGCAGGTAGGAGGTGCGGACCTGGCAGGTGGCAGAGGTTGGTTCTATTGTAGCACTCATGATCACCAGCAGTTCAAAGTCTGCAAGCTCTGGATCTGTCCAGCCACCACCTGGTAGAGAAATGATGAGAGAGTAACCTTAAAAGAAGAGGTCAAAAATAGAAAAGACTGAAGCTGTAAAAATATTAAGCTTGATGAAACCCAGCTTTTCTCTAGATACTGCGTCCTTCTTCCACAGTCTAATGATATGCAAGATGGGAAAATTACGCCTTCTCATTTGCATTAAGTTTGGAGAGTGTGAATCCATGTTTGTGTCCTCTGACAGATTGATGACCACGTATGATATCTATGAATGTACTCTACATGCCCATTGACCACTTCAGATGATTTCTAGCTTTACAAACTCTACAAGGATTTACTGAGAACAGAAATACGAGAAAAGCAAATCTAATAGAAAATAAGAGTGGAAGGATATTTACTGATCATTGGAGCACAAAGTATGAAGTTAAATGTAAAGTGTATAAATAGCTTTCCTGTTCCTCTTCTTTCTTGTGAAATTAAAGATCCTGACACTTCTTTCACAACACGGAAGTAAAGAGTGCGGTAAATAGAAAAAAAAAAGCACACCCAGATATGAGAAGTTAACTGTGTTGCCATTTCCTCCCTTTACTAACTGGAAAAAGAGGATCTTTTATTCTCTTTTTTCTATGTTCCTCGATCAACTTCTGCTCTGTTATAGTCAGGAAAGTCATAAATAATATAAGTAAATTTGAGACAGCAGGTTTAGACATCCATTTCCAAAGCTTAAATATGGAAATAAATATTTCCATCCTGGAGAGAAATATCAGCTCTGCTGCTGCCATAAACACCTTTGTTGAAAGATGTTGGAGATCGGCCTGTTTTTCATTGTAGTCCTGTTTCTCTGACTGTGACTGGCTGGATGTGCTCTCCCCATCCGTGGGATGAGGAGAACAGTCAGAGATTGTCTGCCTGGCTGTGTGTTTGCTGGACCAGGCCACTTTTTACAGTTGCCTTTTGTATCTCTGCTTCTGTTCTCCTTGAACCCCAGTTGACCTCGGCAGATGGCCGCTCACACTGAGCCTGGCTCTGCTGGAGGTTTTTTCCTGTTAAAAAGGAGTTTTGCCTCTCCACTGTCACTACAAGCATGCTTAGTGTATACTGGTTTTCCTTAGATAGAAAACTTTGAAACAATTTGACTGTATGATCTGGTGAACTGTCAAAACCGACAAAGTGCCTTGGGATGACGTGTTGTGAATTGGTGCTATATAAATAAACTAAACTGAATTGGATTGAAGTTATTTATGTATCATCAGTTAATAAAGAATTTAACGAAACCTTCACAAACGCTGCATTTGATTATATTTATACATATTTAAGGCAGAAGTATGTCCTTTTGGCCTTTAAGGTTGTGAAGAACAAGTAAAGCCTCAAATGTGTAAAAAAATGACTATAACAGATATTTTTCTTGTTTTAAATACCTATGTGGTGAACTTCTTATTTCAGGCAGTTGGTCTATACTTCTTTCAGTTCTTAATTCTAAATAGGTAGTTACAAAATAGAATTTTGAAACCTAGCTCTTAGGCAATAACTCAATAAGAGCAGCCTCAACATGTGACAACTATGGTGACCAGATGTCTTGATTTGTACAGGACAGTGCCGCATTTTTCACTTGTCTCGCTGTCCCATAAATCGAAACAATGTCCCAAATTATACTTGTATAAATTGTTTTTAAAAATCTATAAAAATAGACATTCCCAGTCCCAAAGAAAGCAGAACTGCAGTAATTGTCACAGAGCTGCGCCAGTGCCCCATGTCATGACTAACCTGTGTAATGAGCTCTTAAACAGAACTGATGAAGGATTTTAACACATGCTTGAAAAAGCAGCGACTGTCCCAAATTGTCCCTCATCAGCATAGTAGTTCCCCCAAATTAGTTCTTTGAGATCTGGTCACCAGACTGATGACACCAACAAATGAGTAACTTCTTGACCAAACTTACCCTTGGCAGCCCAGGCTCTCAAAGGGCTGTTGTCATCGATGATGTGGTAAAAGGTGAGTGGAAGGATGAGGAAGGGACTGTCGCTGGAAGTGTCTACTTGAAAAGGAACGTTTCTCTGATCCATACGAACTGTTTCACCTTCCTTTGTCAGTGACGTCTGCAGAAGTTTTCCTGTTACCTACATAAAATATACACTGTTCATTTTGGATCAAGTCATTTTAGGTTTAAAACTCTGCAAAGCAAAACAAAATTTGGAAACATTTGGAAGCTTATCAAATGAATGCTGGAATACATCTATACTAAAAGTAAATGCAGAGGAGAGTCTGATGTGTCAGCTCCACATGTGAACCCACCTGACAACCAAGAAGGAGACTCTTACGCATATTGGCGACTCTGATCATCAGGCAGGGTTGGCCTTCATGAGTCGATACAACAGCATGCTGGCTAAACTTCACCGTCTCACTTCGCTTCTTCGGCCTCGCAATCTAATCAGAGGGAGCTCAATTTTTATATTTGTCTGGTCATTTTTATTCATTTGAACCTGCATAATGTCTTGTACCATAATTTCCGGACTATAAGCCACTACTTTATTTTCCACGCTTTGAATCGTGCTGCTTATAAGAAGGTGCCGCTTTTCTATGGAATTTTTGCTAACGGCTAGAGGGCAAAGTCAGCGTTGGAAATGGAAGAATAAAGAGCGAATTCTAATTTAGCACAAGAACATGCTAGCAGCAGGGACGATGGAGAACAAATGTCGCAAATTCACACATTTTGACATTTATTTGCTGCATTAAAGCTGCCAAATGAATAAAGAGACTGGGCTCAACTCCTGCAGAGCTGAGAAAAGAGCCAACGAAGCCACTAGAAGCTCTTACTGCATCTCACTACCCGATCCGTCTCGGAAGCATGATTCTTCCTGCACATGTGTGAAAAGATATATATCCGGGGTTTCCATCAATATTGTAATTATGGTACTTAAACTACTCATTTTTTATCCTTAACTCACCAAAGAATGCTAATACACATCTTTAAAAAATGCTTTCTGAATTTTCTGATACACTTTTGATGCTTTTTACATTTACTCCGTTAAACATTTGTATCATCGGACATGTTCAGAGCAGTCGGGCAAAATGATTGAACCATCTTTATCCGCATTTTAGTTGCTTCTATCTTTAGATTACGCACTATATACGATAATTTTAAAATGAAAAAAAAACCATAAAAATCAAAGAGACTAGATTTATGTTTAAACATACTGTAAATCTAGTCTTTTTTTGTTTTATGTTTTCAACCTTATGCTGTGTAGTGCATAATCTAAAGAAAGAAACAACTAAAATATAAATAACCATGGTTTAATCAGATTTTGCCGGACTGCCCTGACCATGTCCCATGATGACATCAGAGAAACAGTTTAACGAAGAAAATGTTAAAAGCATAAAAATGCGCGTGCGCAGAACGGATCGTGCTTCCAGGACAGAGTGGTTAATGACACTGCTGTGAGCCAACAAGCTATCGGGAGCTAGCATTCTTCTTCGTCTCTTCTCTAGGGACTATATGTAGAGCTCCCCCTACAGGTTTTGTGGAAGACAGTTCAGTAGATATTAGCTGCTAGCTGCTAGATATTAGCGGCTTTTCTATATATGTTTCCATCCATCTATCCACCTTCTTCCGCTTATCTGGGGTTGGGTCGGGGGGGGGGTAGCAGCTTCAGTAGGGAAGCCCAGACTTCCCTCTCCCCAACCACTTGGGCCAGCTCCTCCGGGGGAATCCCAAGGCGCTCCCAGGCCAGCCAAGAAACATAGTCCCTCATGGGGGAGACCCCTGGGCCTCCTCCCGGTTGAACGTGCCCCAAACACCTCACCAGGGAGACGTCCAGTAGGCATCCTAATCAGATGTGCGTTTCCAGTTTTTTCCAATAACTTAGTTGCCGTGGCTTATAATGAGGAGCGCTCTATAGTCCGGAAAATACGGTACTTTAAAGGATTAAAGAGAAGAGCCTTGCAAAGGCATTTACACCCCTTGAACTTTTTAATATTGCGAATGTCTACAGAGTTTACATGAAAGAGCAGCACAAAGTGTTACGTAATTATGAAGTGATGAAAAATGAAATGTGGTAAAAAAAAAATGAACATAAAAACAACAGGAAACAGCAACCATATAGAGGAAGCCTGTTGCTTTGATAAGGCCGAAGTTAACATATCTGGCCTACATGCAATACACTATAAATATGAGCCACTAAAGGCTTTACTGACAAAAACACGTCCAAATTTTATAGTGAGATCAAAGTTTATCTACTAATCTGGGTATATCAAATTGCATGTTAGAAAATAAACTGCACTGTTGCCTTTATGAAAATGCAGAACATATGCACATCATCAAAATGTACAAAATACTTCAAGGAGAATATGCAAATATATTTACTTATTTCTTTTAATGCAATTCTTAAAATTTTAAATGATTGTGACTGATTTTTTTTTTTTTGTCTCTATATTTAGCACGTTTGTACGGTGGCCCTGAAGTGCAAACTGCAATTTTCCTTAATGTAGTTGCGCTTTGCTTTATGTAGTTTTGTTTTTCTTAATGTAGTTGCGCTATGCTTTATGTATTTTTGTTTTTCCTAATGTAGTTGCACTTTGCTTTATGTAGTTGCGATTTCCTTAATGTAGTTGCGCTTTGCTTTATGTAGTTTTGTTTTTCTTAATGTAGTTGCGCTATGCTTTATGTATTTTTGTTTTTCCTAATGTAGTTGCACTTTGCTTTATGTAGTTACGATTTCCTTAATGTAGTTGCGCTTTTAGATTTGTAGTTGCAGTTTGCACTTCAGGGCCACCGTACCTATGTGGCAAAAAACCTGACCATGCCCAGTGTTAAAACATGGTGGTGGCAGCATCATGCCATAAGAATATTTTTCTTCAACAAGGACACAAAGCAGTTCAGACTTGATGAGAAGGTAGGTAGAGCAAAATGGAGGTGATAAGTGGAAGAAAAAACATTTAGACTGGAGTTTAAAAAATGCGCAAAAGTTCAAAAGGAAGTAAATACCTTTGGAATATATACAGCTGATTGCTGATCTAGACGGTTGGTTTTAAATGGTAAAACAACACACTGGAATACATATTTTTGTGGTTTTACACATTTCTCTCTTATGTTTATAACCTTGGCCAGAAAGGTGCCAGTGATGAAGATTTCCATGAGCATGGTGATGACCAGCTGGAGGATGAGGAGGATTATAGCGACTGGACATTCCTCTGTTATGCATCGGAAACCATAACCAATGGTGGTCTGCGACTCCAAAGAGAAGAGGAAGGCAGCTGTGAGGGTCTGCACCTGCATCACACAGGGTGTATGGTTGGATGGCGGACCAAACTCTGAAAGAATATATCAGAAAATAAAACACAAGTTTATGAAGACTGTGGTAAAGAAGAATAAATGGTAAAGACAAGATTTGTTGAAGGGCTCTTGTCATTTCTAATGGTGGAAACATGAGTCATAAGAGGAAGTGGGGGAGGGCTGGTGGTTCATTTTTTCTTGTCAAGATGAAATATTTGACGGTTACAAGGCTTCTTTGTAATTGTGAACGTCCTCTGAAAAATTAGCAGGGGAGTAGAGCTATTCAAATAGTTACTTATGAAGTATTTTACCGGCTAAGTTCAAGTAATTTTAGATTTAGCAAATGAAAAAACCAAACAGAACCTAAAAGCTCAAAAGTGCACATTCCAACAGTCAAAAATAACTGTCTCACTTGCATGTGTTTGAAAACATGTTTTCACACCTTACTGTAGTCTTCAACGCTCACCCCATAGGTGCTGTCATTTTTTTGTGCAGTGTGTTGCTTTAAATTTGCAAAGTTGCAAAAGAAAATAGTTGCAAAACTGTGAGGTTTAAACAGGAAAAAAAGACTGTAATAAACCCTCATGATGTAGGTTTCAACTTCAGCAGCTTACGTGTTGCAGAGGTTTTATCAGTGGTGACCGCGAGTTACTGCTTCACCGACGTATCATCACCGTTTCCTATCAGTAAAAAAATGTTTTCAACTTTGGTGGGAGTTTTAGATTTAACCATAATTGTTTTACAAGCATGTTTGGGGTCCAAGTTTTTTTGAGGGTATTGATCTGAAAGAGTGGTTTCTATCTTTCCACTTGTTCATTTTCTGGTTTTATTTCTAGATATGTTGGAGTTCTGATCTCAGCTAAGCAAAAAAACTCTTCACCTTCCTAAATCTGATTTTGCATCAGTTATCATCGTCGACCCAAACTTTATGACTCCTGAGACTTTAGATTAATATATTTTTCCGTGATGTTTAATTAAATCTTGCGCACATAACATTACTCACAATTCCTTACACAAAGTGTGTGTGGGGGTGGGGGGGGGGGTGGGGGGGGGGGGGGTTGAGATTGACTAGCTGGTGCTGCATAATTGTGAGCTGCAGGGGATAGATGGGATATATATATATATATGCATGTGACCAATCGATTAATTACAATAGCAAAAACATGCAGATTAAAAAGCAAACAAGACCAACCTTTGGGGCTGGTTTTGTAGGGAAGAAAAACAGTCTCATTGGAATCTGCCTTTGTACACCGAATTTTAAACACATTGATTACACATTACACATTGATTTCCTTACACTGAATTTATATCTGGTAAAAAATTGCCTGCAAAAAATTGAGCTGCAAATGTGTTGATCTTTTGTTGAACTCAAGCCAAAGCAATCAACACTCGATGCAGTCGAGCAGCTTTTAGCCGATTAAATTAGCTAATTTGGTCACGTGACACAACAGTTGGCCATAGCATTGTTCCAGGCTGAATGAAGCCGAATGAGGAGTTTTTCTTGTTAAATAGATAAGATTGTAAAAAGTTTAATCGGACTGGGTGAAATAACTGAGCTGATCACAGCTAGTGCCGGGCCCTTGTCTGTCTAGGCTCTTGATTTGATCTGGAAGATGCGGCCGGCGGCAAACTTCCTTTTTTTCTGACCGAATTAACTGATTTCATTGGCTAGAAGCTTCTCGACTGCATCGAGTATAGATTGCTTTGTCTTGAGTTCAACAAAAGGTCGACACATTTCCAAGAACAAATTTTCACCACATAAAAATTCAGTGTAAGGAATTTGATGTGTAAAAACTTCAGTGTTGAAATTCAGTGTGACACACAAATTGTGTGTTACACAAACACACAATTATGTTTGTTTCACTTTCATTCATTTTATGCCATTTTGTAAAGCCAAACTGGGACCTTTACCTTAAACCTAACATTAATGGGTTTATACCTACCTCTAACCTCAACCTAAACTCAATTCACACCTTAAGGGCTGGTTATACTCCCGCAGCAGTGTGTCGCAGTGAACTCGTTGCAGATATTTTTTAACTAGCCCAATATTGAAGCGTGGTCTGTGCTATGTTATTCTATGCCACACCGCAAGAGGGACAATCAGGAACTAGAGGTGGGTCTAGATATGGCCGTTGCGATGAGGAATTTGGGACAAGTTTGTGTGACAACAGAGGGGGTCTAGGTGGAAAAAGGGTAACAGCCTCGCTCTTCTAGCTGGTCCAATATCACAAGTTGTTTTCCACAATGGCGGTCATACAAACAAAGCAAGCCAGTAAGGTACTAAACAGGAAATACGCATAGTGTAGAGTGAATGTAGATTTAACCAATCAGAGGCCTCCTATCTGTGGCACTGTCTGAGGTCACCTACGATTTTGGAGAGGGGCACCAGGGTGTCTGCGGAAGGGACTGGGGCATATCTGCATTTACTGCGACACACGCTGACAACATGGTTCTGAGTATAAATCATTCTTTAGTCCTAAACCTAACACTGAACCCTCAATCTGATTTTATACACATGGGGAGTAGGCATTGGTCCCCATGTGAGCAGTCGGCCCCCGCAATGTGCTATGATTTCTGGCCCTCAAGGGCCACTGTCCTACAGGTTTTAGAGGTTTCCCTTCTTCAGCACAGCTGGTTTTCTGTTAAGAGCTAACTCTGGACAGCCCTGATCTCTACTGAAGCGGCAGATTCTAGTTTGCTAGGTGTGGTTGTCTTGTTGCTTTCTTTATTTGGCTCATTATGAAAATCGAAACCATCTCTACAGATAAAACTTGCTACGCTGATAGCCAAGATTTTGACTAGAGAAATGAACTGTATTCAGACAGGAACTGAAAAGCTAAAAATGTTGGATTTATTTAAAAAGATAAAAGCAAGGGTTTTTTGATCGAAGTTTTTTTTAAATGCTGAGATCAAATTAAGGGGTAAACCCTGATATGCCTTATCAAAGCTTTGAACTTGGAAATGAAATGAAAGTGTTGAAATTCATGGGTAGTCTGTGGGGCGTGTGAAACTGTGAGAAGGTACTTTTTTTCACACAACCTCTGCTCTCTCACCCAGCAGATCTCCGTGCAGCAAAGCCAACAGGTACCACACTACCCCGAAAAGAAACCAAGTCCCCGCAAAGGTTGCTGTGAACAGGAAGAACTTGTAGCGCCATGGCATTTCAAGAAAAGTTGTCCAGGGGTCACGCATGTAGAGGGCGTTCCTTCCACTGATGTGCTCAATGCGCATATTGCTGCGCCCATCTTTAGACAGGATGCGCCTCCTCTTCTTCAGAACCCCAGCCCCGGCAGAAGATCCACCGCCCAACAGCGGCTTCAGAACATCGGTTTGTGTCTGGGAGTGGCAAACTTTGTGAGGGGAAGAGCTGCGAGAGCAGGGTGGCGAGGAGGAGGTCATCTGATGAGAAGCATACAGAGAAAAGAAAGCTGATGATTCTTCATACTTCAGTTGATTAATACTTTAATTTTGTCTGCTTAACAGCTATGAATAACTATGACAACTTTATCACACATTTGCATGCATGCTTCTTCTATGACAAACAGGTTATTGTTAAACCGAGAAACCAACTTCCCACAATGACTGCATTTTTCAGTAAATCATTCGTGTGGTAACTTCCCTTCAGAAGAATTTTTCCCAAAAATGGAAGCAAATGCAAAATTGTTTAATGATAAAGATATTTAGGAATTCACAGGAAAATTTATTTGAACATAAAGTTTGTTTGTTTTTTCTTAGTCATGGAAATTCAAAGAGTTTTTATACTCAGACAGAAACTGGGTAATTTCTGCTGATGTTAGTTTTGGAAATGATCTAAACCTTTTCTGAGCTAATAGTTCTGTGTGGTAGATACCGATCTGTTTTCTTCAGAGTTTGATATTTATCAGCATCTACGATCATGTGATTTCATGACAGGAAGAAGATCTTCTTCCTTTTAATATGCAACATCTCACCATGCATGCTTTCAATCGAAACCAACACTTCCCGTTCATGGTTCAGATATATTTAAGGCCAGTTTAAGGGAACTTGGGGAAAAATGCTCCAAGTTTAAAATGTAAACAAACTGATAGTAATTGCTCGGGTTGAAAACTGATATACGTGTTCTGGTGAACGTGTTGGTGAATTTGAGCTGCTGTTGACAACCACAGGAAAGTACACAAAGCCAAACACCAAAGAAAAAGTTTTGTAGATAGAGATCTGTAGAAAGGAGGATGGAGGTGATATTTATTCAATTATAGTGTAATTTTTGTACATTTATTTAATTCTTCATTAATTTTTTATATCTATTTGGTTAAAACTGAATAACATCACAATTTAAAACTTTGGATATGGTGTGGTCCTTATTTTAATCAAAAGAGGTCTCTTCAGCGGTCCCCATACACCAGCTGTCTCTCTTCCTCTTATACATTTCCTGATTGGAACCATGCATTAGCTAAAAAAAACCCAAAAAACGGAACTAATAGACTAAACCTCTGATATAATTAATTTATTCATCTGAGAATCCAGATAGAGTAATACTTTTTGTGTGAGACACAAAGAACAGGATTATTGAACAATTTGATTTTAATGAGGCTTATAAGTGCTTATGTGATGGATCCTTTTCTGAGCTCATTTTAAGATGAGACAAAGGCAGTTCTAACATATCAACCATAGTTAAATTGTAGCTCACCCTGATTTAATAACATAACACCTTCCCCAGACAAATTTCAAAAAAAGTGAGCAGCGCTAAGAGGCCCAGAGGGTCAGGGCTCGGTGTGGGGATGAATGATCGGGATTGAGCAATGATGTGGTCAAAATGAGGGAAAGCAGCTCGCTTGACATGACATTGTAATAAGGCTGGAGTTCCACTGGATGTAAGAGTGGTGTGTGAACGCAGTGATGCAGTTACACTGCTCTTTCTGCTAGGCCTCCTTCACTGGAAAAAATCGACATCTAGATAAGTCATTTTTTTCTTAAAATAAGTGCATTTGTTCTTGGATTGAGGCGGTAAAAGAGACATTTTGCCAATGGAACAAGACAATTTATATTTAAAATAAGAAAACACAATTCCATTGTCTTATTTCGAGTGCATGTTATCTAAAGTAAAAATACTCATTGCATTGGCAAACTATCTCATTTACCTGCTCAAATTAAGGGTAAATACACTTAATTTAAGAAATGTGTACTTATTACTACATCGTTTTTACAGTGTTGGAGCTTTATCAGAGCAACTGAACGACTGCACTCTGATTCTATCAGAATTGCATCATCGCATTATTGAACAGGAGTGTACTTGTAAATTAAAAGCAAATATATTAATTAAATTATATATTTAAATCAGGTTGGGTCCAGATTAGCCAGCAGATGGGCCCGGATCCAGACCGCGGTCCGCTAATCCGTGACCTATACACTAGGTCATGTATTTGGACCAAGGGCGTAGAATTTAATATGTTCCACTGTGTCACTGCAGTTTTGTTGCTTTTTTACAATTTTTTTCAACAAGTATCAAACTCAAGTAGAGTTTGCCATTAGTTTTGCTGTTGCTTTCAAGCATCAGCATCCTGAGGTGAGCAATTTGGCTTAAGCTGGGCTTATACTGTATGATTTTTCGCCCTTTTTGGGCCGATTCTCCAGTCGTGCAAGAATTTTTCGATCAGGGCGACTATCAGCCTGATTATGCGCCCTGTAGTGTACAGGGGGTAATGGGGGCAATTGAGTTATTTCTGTAACATTGACATTGTCATTGACAGAAAGCTGCTGTACTCATACCGCCACGTTTTATGACATGTAGAAAAACAGGTGAGTGAATTAGCTGGTAAATAAATACGTATGGTACAGTTCAGCATTAACTGTTTGAAAAAGCTTAAAATATTCATAAAGTGTGATATACATTTAGTTCTGTTCACTATTGTAAAGTTGTGATGCACTCTTGTCTCCCACAGACTCGTACTGTATGCTTCACACATTTTCACATCCTCAGCTACCTCACTAACCCCCGGAGGCTAAAGAAGAGGATAACCCACTGGGGAGTAAGATAATGAGAAAGGGAAGAAAAGTGAAAGGAGCAGAATAAGGTGCATTAACCCAATAAAGTGCCACCACAGAGACTCATCTGTTATTCAGAGGAGAGAAGAGACACCTGAACCCTTCAATTAAGGTGCTAATCTATGAGCAAACCTAGACCATTAACTGGATATGTCTTGTTTAAACAATAAAATAATAATAATGTTAATTCTAGGTAGAGACATTTAGTTTGATAAAGAGTTGATTCCTTATTAGAAACTAAAGACAACAGTAAAAGTAACATTTAAACATTTTAACTATTCTTTGTACCTCTACAATATATCTCTATTTCAGCAAAATGTCCACTTTCTGCTTATTGATTATGGGTGAGTCTTTTGTCTATTTGTCTTTTGGTGAAATTTATTATAAAATGTATACATAGCAAACTTGCGTCACAATAAAATGTTAAAGACCACATTGCTTTTTTATATTGGTGGGACATTTCTGCCAATTCTTTAACTGTACAACTTATTCTTACACTTTTATGTTTAAAAAAAATATCCGTTGTTATGGGCTTTATTTAAAGGCAAGCAGAGGCGCTTTTTAAAAAACTGACCAGTGGACGGACGGACGGACGGACGGACGGACAAACAGATAGAGAGATGGACGGATGGATGGACGGACAGATAGATAGAGAGATAGATGGATGGATGGATGGATGGATGGATGGATGGATGGATGGATGGATGGATGGATGGATGGATGGATGGACGGATGGATGGACGGACAGATAGAGAGATAGATGGATGGATGGATGGATGGATGGATGGATGGATGGATGGATGGATGGATGGATGGATGGATGGATGGATGGATGGATGGATGGATGGATGGGCGGATGGACAGACGGATGGATGGACAGACGAATGGACGGACATATGGACGGACGAATGGACAGACGGACAGATAGATAGAGAGATGAACGGACTGACAGATGGATGGATAGATGTATGGATGGACGGACGGACGGACGGAAGGACGGACAGATAGATAGAGAGATGGATGGATGGACGGATGGATGGATGGATGGATGGATGGATGGATGGACGGACGGACGGATGGATGGACTAATTGACTCTTGCTTTACATTATGTATTATCTTCTAAATAATAATAGAGAATTTAGCAGAATTTGATAACAGATGGCTTGCGAGGAAGAGGAATTCTCACCAGATTTGTCAATTCATAAACTGAGTTATTAAAAGTGTTGGAAAAAAGTTGTTTGCTCTTTAACATTATGGAGGAAAATGCATTTTTAGGTCGGCTTATACTAAACTGTGTACAGATTGATAAAAAAATGCCATCCATTATCATTTAAGGCTGGCTCCCCATGTTCCTTGTTTTGTCTAACTTTATGTCTTTTTTTGTCTAACTTTATGAAATTTCGTTTAGTACAGTTTTTCAGGAAGCAAATGAACATTTGCATTCCATAAAGTGCAACAGTGATCAACTGTAAACAGTGTGGGAGAAAGAAACATTATCCTCCACAGGTGTGCTTGCTTGTGCTTTCCTTCCTAAATGTAAAGTAACTACCTAGGATCGGATCATACAGTGGAAGTATGTTCATGTATTTTATGAAATTGTGCGTTTACATTCTAAAGCATGACTTATATAACCTGTCATAATTAATAACATCACTCTGTTGTGATTATGCAATAGCGAATTCCATAATTACAATGATGCCATTGAAACTGTCTCACTCTGTCAACTCTGAGTCACCCTCATCCAATTTTAGCCTCTCACCCGAACTCCCCACTGTACTCACATGTTTTTAGGAAAAAACAAAATCCACCTCGCCTGTGTATCAGATATCTGATGGAGTTAATGGGAGCAAAAGGGACCAACCTCTCTAGATGGCTTTATACAGTTCCCATGACAACCTTACTGTACACTGCATCCACAGATGAAAACAGAAAAAAACAGAATCCAAACTTTTTTTCTTTTGGCTAGATAATGGAGTTTTGGATGTTTTCCTAATCTCCCTCCCCTCTTCTTGTCTTTCTTTTTCCTCCTCTCCTCTTTCCTTCCCCTTCTTTACCCTCTCCCTCTCTCCTCTGTGTACACAGGAATGCTTTGTTGGAAGCTGAGATAAAAGAAACAAAAGATGCCATTCACAGAAACGACTTTGTGTCCATCCATGTGTGTGTGGACGTGTGTGGAGGGAAAGCAATTACACGCATTAGTCAGTTTTTTTCTTTTGCATATGTTAGAGTGTTAAGTCCTTATCTTTTATTTTGTTTGGCATTTGCTTGCTTGTATGTTTTTTTGCAGAAACAGTTTTAGTCGGATTATTGAGGTTTCAGGGGTTTTACCTGAGAAGGAAAATCACTGGTTTCTGACTGGTAGGTGGTTGCTGAAGCTGGGTTTATGTGTGAAAGGGAGCGAGAGAACATAAGAGAGGAGGGGAAAGAGGAAAAAGATCTGTGACAAAAGCCCTCATTAATATTCTGAGCTGAGGAGTAATCCCCCTCCATCTCTCTGTTTCCTTTCCCCTTCTTGCTTTTTGCATGCGCCCCAAAACACTCACACACCTCTACACCTACTATCAGCTTGTTTTCCTCTCATCTTTACTTTTCCTGCTAAACATAACTTCTGCTTAAGAACTGCATCATAAAATATGAAGTTAAAAGTTGTGTATATTAAATTTTTAATCCCGTTCTACCCTTTTAGTTCTACAGTACCTCCTCCAAGTTCCTGTGAAACACGTGCTTGAACAAAACAACATGAGGAGCAAAGGAAATAAGCATTTAACTCATGGATAAATATATTTCTAATGTTAATATAGATGTAAAATTCAAACCAGGTGTAAGTAACGACCAAATTAGGTCACGGAAAGGATTTGAATTAAATTAGACAATATATAACTTAATAAAATGGAATGGAAGGTAAAGTAACAATAAAATACATGAATAATATAATCTACAAAATGGCATACAGAGAAAAGAGAATTTCTGAAATCTTTATATAGAGCGAAAACTCTTACAATACAAATAAATATCACCTAGTTTAATAAGTAATTAAATGGTGACTTATAGAAAGTTTCTTTTTTTTTCCCCAGCATGGTCAAAAGGAAATAACTCATTAAAAAACTTTTGCTTTCATTTCTGCAAAAAATATCCTGGTCATATTAGATACAGATCCTTCAAATACCTTGAGAATATAGGTATAACTATACCTATACCACCACTTGGTCTACTTCAAATGATCTCTAACAGAGGAATCAGAGAAATAATCATACAAGTTGTAAAAGAGAGAGAAAATGCTTAAGAAGAGCTTCATTAAAATCTAAAATTAGACAGTGCATGGTCTCAATCATCACTTCCTGTGCCAGACTCCAATGCTGAAGAGAAATCATCAGAACATTAGAAAAGCTTTTGAAATACTGATCAGAATTGAACTAAATGGACTAAGAGCTGCGGATTATGAGGTGCCCCCAGGGACATAAATCAGAATTAACTTGCATATACACATATTAAATTACACTCTTCCATATAATATACTGAAAACCTCACACAAACACTAGTAAAAAGCTCTCACATAAACTAGTGAAAACATTTACCTCTTATATAATCTACTCAAAAGCTCTCATACAAAGTAGTGAGAACTATTCATATAAACTGGTGAAAAGCTTTACCTTTCATACACACTACTAGAAAGCTTTCATATACACTATTAAAAAGCTCTCATATACACTACTAGAACGCTCTCATATACACTATTAGAAAGCTCTCATATACACTATTAGAAAGCTCTCATATACACTACTAGAAAGCTCTCATATACACTATTAGAACGCTCTCATATACACTATTAGAAAGCTCTCATATACACTATTAGAACGCTTTCATATACACTATTAGAACGCTCTCATATACACTATTAGAAAGCTCTCATATACACTACTAGAATGCTCTCATATACACTATTAGAACGCTCTCATATACACTATTAGAAAGCTCTCATATACACTACTAGAAAGCTCTCATATACACTGCTAGAAAGCTCTCATATACACTGCTAGAACGCTCTCATACACGCTACTAGAAAGCTCTCATACATGCTACTAGAAAGCTCTCATATACACTACTAGAAGGCTCTCATACACGCTACTAGAAAGCTCTCATACACACTACTGAAAAGCTATTAGCGGATTTCAGTTGAAACGGAAGGTGTTTCAGTGAAACAGGAAGGACCGTCATTACCCCGGAAGTTGTTTTAAACGGAGGTCATTCTGGCTAGCTCCGTACATTTTGTGCTATCTCCGGCCGAAATTGTATCAAATAAAATTATTGATTCATGCTCAGCTATCCGCTAAACAACTCACAGAAGCATGGGCATTACTCGACTTTATTTTTTATGTTTTTGCTTCAACAGAGATCCTTTTCCGGTGTTGTGCGAAATTCTGTTCCCATGTGAAAATCTGTTCCACCTGTGTCGGGAGCGCGCCGCGCATTGCAGCCACATAAGCGGATCTGATAATTTCCCAGGCCTTTCGGATCATTTCTTGGTTAAATAAAAAGTCGTAAAATTATACAAGGTTGAGACATTTAGTTTAATCAGCCGCTGTTGTTTACAAAATTGTAAAATAAAAAAAAATAAATGCGGTTTTCTTATGCTGTTTTGTGTTGTTATTTTAAACGCCAAGAGAATCAGTCTCTTTCCAAGTTTTTTCACTTCAGCCTGACAGAAATAAAAGTCAAGTCACCAAATACCAAATTTGTATTTATAATTTTTTATTACTGATATAAGATGATGGGAAGTGCCTGATAGCAGTTCCATAATATGGAAACAAATTAATTTAGCTGCAAATCTTAAACTGTGTTTATTCCTCTCTTCATCAACAACAAACCATCTGGATTCTGTGATATTTGAGCAATGTTTGCCTAAATTAAAGGAGGGGGACCATATATTTTAGCTTTCTAATAGTGTGTATGAAAGCTTTCCAGTAGTGTGTTTGAGAGCTTTCTAGTAGCGTGTATGAGAGCGTTCTAGTAGTGTATATGAGAGCGTTCTAATAGTGTATATGAGAGCTTTCTAGTAGTGTATATGAGAGCTTTCTAATAGTGTATATGAGAGCTTTCTAATAGTGTATATGAGAGCGTTCTAATAGTGTATATGAGAGCGTTCTAATAGTGTATATGAGAGCTTTCTAATAGTGTATATGAGAGCGTTCTAATAGTGTATATGAGAGCTTTCTAGTAGTGTATATGAGAGCTTTCTAATAGTGTATATGAGAGCTTTCTAATAGTGTATATGAGAGCGTTCTAGTAGTGTATATGAGAGCGTTCTAGTAGTGTATATGAGAGCTTTTTAATAGTGTATATGAAAGCTTTCTAGTAGTGTGTATGAAAGGTAAAGCTTTTCACCAGTTTATATGAACAGTTCTCACTACTTTGTATGAGAGCTTTTGAGTAGATTATATAAGAGGTAAATGTTTTCACTAGTTTATGTGAGAGCTTTTTACTAGTGTTTGTGTGAGGTTTTCAGTATATTATATGGAAGAGTGTAATTTAATATGTGTATATGCAAGTTAATTCTGATTTATGTCCCTGGGGGCACCTCATAGCGGATTGCCCCAGAAATATTCTCTCAACAGATGTTTGAAGGTGGAACATCACAGATTGGTACTGCTGGACTCCTTGACAGTAAAGAATGAATGAATATAGAAATGAGCTTGGAAATTCTTGTTAGCAGTCAGAAGATGAAACAAACATTTTTAATTAAGAAGTCCAATAAACAACCAAAAAAGCTCTTGGTTGGTGTCTAAGAAAAAGAAAGTCATAATTCTTGAGTGAACAGCAGATGCCACCTGAAACGTTCCAAATGCAAGAATATTTTTTTTGACAAATAGGTAAAAATCCCACTTTAGCATTTAATCTACTGCATGGAGCAGGTTCCTCGATACAGGAGATGCCTTGAAGTTGTCATTACCATAAAACACCTTTCTATTAAGTATTTCATTAATTTCAGAACAAATTCACTCTCGGGTTTATTGCGCTTTATTTCCTTTATGGTATTTGCCTTAGTATGAGTGGATTACTTTGCTTGTTTTTAAAATCAGATGTGAATTTGATGTTGCTGTCCCATTTGAAATTTGAGCTCAACATGTTTTCAAACCTTTTTCTCTGCTGGACTACTCTCCTGATGTACAGGAGGGACAGGAATGTGCTGAGAAAAAAAGCTGCACAAGTGGTTACATTTACATAATTTCAATGCATCTTTAAAATAGGAAAAGGGATAGTTGTTATCTTCCAACTATTGTCTGTTTATTTATTTATTTGTTTTTGGGGGGTAGTTTTATTTTTATTTTTTTGTGTGTGTGAGCATATTTTAATCTCTGTCGGTTGAACAGAGGAAGATTTCAACTCTCCTCAGTCCACTTTTTAGTGTAGAAATGAAGCATGAGCTTCGAATAAGTCAGCCATTGTACAGAAAACAGTATCTATTTTCTGTTTTATTATCTAATTTACTCTTTATGATGCCATTTTTTGTCCTGTCTTTGCATTAAGATTCTGCTAAATAATAAATAATTGCTAAAATGTTTTGGTTTTAGCAAGTTTAAGAATTCCATTTCTGAAATTCAGATGCATAGTGTCTTTAAAGAAACACAAAATCATTAATCAATAATATATACAAAAGTTAAAAAGAAAGATATTTTTAACAACAGATAGGAAAACAATCTAACCTTGGAGTTAAATTTTAAAAAATAATGCAAAAAAAAAAAAAATGATTACTGAGAAAATCTAAATAATTGAAAAATAAGAATTGCATTAGTTGAATGTTTTTCTTACTTGATTTATGTCTTCAGCATTTTTTTTATTTTCAATTTTTTTGTGCTGATAAAGTAATTTTCTTACCTTCTTAGAGCAGACAATGAACTAATTGTCAGGTGCAGTGAGGATTGTGGTACCCAGAGCCTCAGCCTTCTGCTCTACATGTCTCCTCTGTTGTCATACGCATGCTCACAGGGCACAGTTTGGACTGTAAGTCTGCAGCCAACGTCCCACGATACTGTACACCTCTTAAGCAGAGCTATGAGGCCTCTCATTGGCTCGTTGGGGCCCCGTTTCGTACCCAAAGTCCGCCGTGCCGCTGCCCGCAATTTCTTCCCAAAGTGGCAGGACTTGGCTTTTATAAAAGGCCTCTCTCTCTCGGTTCCCCTTTTCCCTCAAAGTCCCTCTCCCTCACTCCTGAATTCCTGTTGTGTCAGATTATGCCCTGTGTAATTGCTTCAATAACTGATCATAGCTCCCTGCTGAGCCAATTCAGTTCCAAGATATCAGATGTACAGTACTTCCCATTCACACTGTACTTCATTGTTGGGGAGGAATTTGGCTTTAAACAATTCATTTTACATGGTGGAGGTAATTTTCACTTTTATAGCGGTATATAGAGTTATATGTAACTTGAAAATGTGTTAACATTTATTGAAAAAAGTTCCTACACACATGCAGAAGAAGCACATGTTTTGGATGTGCACACATGCCAACACATGGTCCCCCAACAAAAAAACCCCTGCAGAAAGCACACACACTTCCGCTCATGCACAAAAATGGACCCACAAAACCCCTTTTAAACAACCCACAGAGCCCCTATTCACCCTTTCTGTGGCCGGCGTTTGCTGTGTCCAAGAGCATCTGTACGGAGCGTCCTGTGAGGCTCCAACACATAAAGGAGCGACGGCCGTGAGGTGAATACAGCTCCTCACTCTGCATCAGGAGAGGGTGACCAGGCATTATTTTAATGAAAAGCGGGAGCAGATGAGGACCACTAGTCAAATGTGTGAAGGGTTTCTGTGACACCTCATGCTTCAGAGTGCCTGCAAGGCTTTACAGTATGTATCACTGAACTCCTCTGTACCTACAGAACACTACGGATTTAACCAAACGCACAGGAAGTGGGAAGCGTTTCAGTACTTTTGGTAAAGCCTTCATAGCAGATGACTCATTTTCACTGTTCCACTGCACTTTGTACTACTGGGATTTAGACTATATATACCAACACAAAGATGCTAAAAATTGTATTGGAAGGATACTGAAAGATACATGAATTTCTGAATTTATCTAAGAATTTAAAATGTTTTCTTTAAAATGTTTTTTTAAACCAATTAAATGCTACATTTGGCAATTAGACATTCTTAACCAGCTTTGTATATTTAAGCCTTTGAATGGGCTGCTTTACTACATAAAATAGTTTTCATTCCAGGTAGACCATCTTATTTTAGGGTTTCTGACTCATTCTGGCAATTCTTCTGAGGCAGGTTTCCCTCCAGGATTACCCTGTGTTCAGCCTCATCAATCAGCAGCATGGTTTACTGCTGGCATTGTGTTCTCACAGTAATGGGAAGTCCTGGTTTGGGTCCACAAATTGTGTTTTACAAGAAGACCAAATTTGAAATCATTTCTTAGCAAATACTAATATTTTAACACCACCCTTTTTGTGTGTGTTTTTTTTTTTTTTTAACAAACTAAGATACAAAAATAAAAATAAAAACATTCACTCTCTGTTTCAATTCAATTCAAATTATTTATAGTCAATTCACAACACATGTCATTACAAGGCACTTTACAATTCAACTGGATTATACTCTCAAATTGATTCAAAGTTTTCTATCTAAGGAAAACCAGTTGATTGCATCGACTCATTGACTCCAATTCAATCCCTCACACTAAGCATGTTTGTAGCGACAGTAGAGAGGAAAAACTCCCTTTAAACAGGAAGAAACCTCCAGCAGAGCCAGGCTCAGTGTGAGCGGCCATCTGCTGAGGCCGACTGGGGTTCAAAGAGACAGAAGCAGAGATATAAAGGGAAACTGTAAAAGGCGGCCCCATCCAGGAAACACACAGCCAGGCAGATGAGCTCAGAGCCAGCTCCCATGTCAGAGGATGAAGAGAGCACATCATCCCAGTCACGGTCAGAGAAACAGGACTACTCTGGAAAACAGGCCGATCTCCAACATCTATAAACAAAGATATTGATGGCAGCAGCACAGCTGATGTTTCTCTCCAGGATGGCGTCACAGCCAAACAGGAACATACGAGGCAAAGCTACAATGAGAAAAAGCAGAGAGAGCAGAACGTTAGAGATTGAACTAACAGATTCTGCAGAATAGGAGAATAGAGAGAGAATGAAGCAGAATGATGAAATGGGGTCCCTATGTCCTCCAGAAGTCTAAGCCTATAGCAGCATAACTATAGAGATAGCTCAGGATAACCTGAGCCACTCTAACTATAAGCTTTATCAAAAAGGAAAGTTTTAAGCCTAGTCTTAAATGTAGGCAGGGTGTCTGCCTCACGGACTAAAACTGTAGTTGGTTCCACAGGAGAGGAGCCTGATAACTAAAAGATCTGCCTCCCATTCTATTTTTAGAAATTTTAAGAATCCATAGTAAACCTGCAGATTGAGAGCGAAGTGCTCTGTTAGGAACATAAGGAACAATCAGATCTCTGATATCAGATGGAGCTTGACCATTTAAGGCTCTATATGGGAGAAGGAGGATTTTAAATTCTATTCTGGATTTAACAGGTAGCCAATGAAGAGAAGCCAGGATAGGCGAGATATGATCTCTCTTTATTTTCATCAGAACTCTGGCTGCAGCATTTTGGATCAGCTGAAGGCTTTTAACTACAGTTTGTGGACTTCCTGATAGTAAAGAATTACAATAGTCCAGCCTTGAAGTAACAAATACATGGACTAGTTCTCAGCATCACCCCTGGACAGGATATTTCTAATTTTTGCAATATTCTGCAATATTTTGAAAAATCTTTGATATGGAATTTAAATGACAGGTCCTAATCGGAAAAAAAAAAAAACACCAAGATTTTTTACTTTATTATCTGAAATCAGTTTAATCCCATCCAAATTAAGTAACTGACTAATCAGCTTCTTTTTAAAATACTCTGGTCCGAAAAGTATAACTTCTGTTTTGTCTGCATTCAGAAGCTGAAAGTTAAGAGTCATCCAGGTTTTTATGTTTTCAAGACATGCCTGTAATCTATGTAATGGGTTAGCTTCATCTGGATTTATAGACAGATATAGCTGGGTATCATCAGCATAACAGTGAAAATTAATCATATGCTTTCTAATAACTCTACCGATTGGGAGCATATATGTAGTAAAGATACTGTGTCCTAGCACTGATCCCTGTGGTAGATCTATCATTAACATTAACAAACTGATATCGATCAGATAGATAAGATTTAAACCAGTCTAATGCTGTTCCTTTAATTCCTACAAAATATTCAAGTCTCTTAAAGGAATATTATGGTCAACTGTATCAAATGCAGCACTGAGATCTAACAGGACAAATACAGATACAAGTCCATTATCTGAGGCCATGAAAATATCATTAGTGACTTTCACCAGAGCTGTTTCAGTGCTATGATGAGCTTTAAAGCCAGACTGAAAATCTTCAAAAAGTTGATTATGGTGTAAGCGGTTGCACACTTGTTTGGCAACTACTTTCTCAAGAATTTAATTTAAGAAAAGGTCTACGATTGAAATTGATATAACCAAACAAGTAAAATTGCAAGGACCATGTACATATAGGTAATGGTATATATAACTGTACATAATGTAATTACATGTAATTATATAGTAAATACCATATGCTGTATGTCTTTGACACTCGGGTGAGGAGAGGGGCGCAGCTGTCCACCGATCACCACCTGGTGGTCATATGGATATGCTAGAAAATAAGGAGGTCAGACAGACTTAGCAGGCTTAAGTGAGTAGTGAGGGTCTGCTGGGAAAGTCTGGTTGAGCCCTGGGTCTGGGACTTGTACAGCTCCCACCTCTAGGAGAGCTCCTCCCAGATGCCTGGGGAAGGTTGCTGACATCGAGTCTGAGTGGGCCATGTTCTCTGTCAATTCGGCCGTCTGTAGCTGTAAGGTGTGTGGTGCCTGTCATAGGGGCAATCCTCGAATCCGATGGTAGACACCGGCAGTAAGAGAGTAAGGGATTCCGTCAGGCTGAGGAAGGAGTATTGTCGAGTCTAGCTGGATTGTGGGACTCCTGAAGCAGCAAGTAAATGTAAATGTTAATCCCTTTTATTGTCCCACAATGGGGAAAATCAGTCTCAACATGTGACCCATCTCCTTGGGGAGCATTCGGCTTCCATAGTGTGTCGCCCAGGGAGCAGTTTGGTTTTAAGGAACCCAGAGGGGAGGCTGTGAGGATCAAACCAGGTATTTGCAACCTTCTCAGAGCACAAGCACACTGCTCTAACCACTAGGCCATCACTCTCCACTATCGTGAGGCCAAGCGTGCTTCTGCCCAGCGGTTGCTGAGGCCTGGGAGGAGTTTGGAGAGGCCATGGAGAGAGACTGTCCACTTTCTTCAAAGTGATTTTGGCAACCCCCCTGGCGCCTCCAAAGGGGGAGGTAGTGCTTTGCTAACATTATTTGGAGTGGGATTGGAGAGCTGCTGACCTTGAAAAGGGCATTGTTGGATGGTGGAAGAAATACTTTGAGGATCTCCTCAATCCAACTGACATGACTTCCATGGCATAAGAAAAGAGAGGTGTTCAGGGTTGGATTTGTTCATCACCCAAGCTGAAGTCATAAAAGTGTTCAGAACACTCCTCGACGGCAAGGGTTTGGAAGTGGATGAGATCCACCCAGAGTACCATAGAGTGCTCATTATTGTCGGGCTGTTATGGCTGACATGCCTTTTTAACATCACGTTAAGGTCTGGGACATTGCCCCTTGATTGGCAGGCCAAGGTGGAAGTTCCCCTGCATAAGAAGGGGTACCTGTGGGTGTGTTACAATTACAGAGGGTTAGCACTTCTCAGCCTCCCCGGGAGGGCCTATGAGGGTCCTGGAGAGGAGAGTCCGGCTGATTGTCGAACCTCGGTTTCATTGCTAAGGTCATGAAATCTGGGTCATCATGAAAGAACGAGACCCTGGATACAAGCCGCAAAAATGAGTCTCTCTAAGAATCCCCCTTAGAGATGTGGAGCTCAGTCATTCAGGAGAAGCTTGGAGGTGAGCAGCTTCTCCATATCAAAAGGAGACAGCTGAGGTGGCTCGGACATCATGCCCTCTAGACGCCTCCCTTGGGAGGGGTTCAAGGTGGAATCCTAGTGGGAGGAGGCCCAGGGGACCCCCAGGACACGTTGGGG